GCTGGGGGAAGGGAAGCTGTGAGCAGGAGGTGAGGAGGAGGTGAGAAGGGCTAGGATGTTTGTATGGACTCTGAAATGTGTAACAGGTATACTCAAGGATCCTGGAAGCAAGTATGGGCTTTGATATGCTAATCTTCTGCCAGAGGTAAGGGAAATGACTCCTTTTGGTAGACGGGAACTGGTTAGACAAGTTCCTGAGGCATGCTGGCTTTCATCTAACCACCAGAAATCTTCCTACAGTCCAGGTTGAGCTCACTGGACTGACTTTTTGAGTTTGGGGAACTGGTGCTCCCTTTGGACCTAACACAGAGGTCTACAAACATGAAGCTCAGAATGCTTGTCTTTTTTTCTTTGTCTGGATAGTGTAGTATTAGAATATGAATACAGGAAGCATTGTAATCTCTGTTTACTCTTCTGCTACTCAAGAGAGCCAACTGATAATAAAGCTAGCACTGGGAGCAGGAAGGGCCAAAAAGATCAATGGCAGGGAAAGGAAGCCAGTTCCAGAGAGCCTCATAAACCTCAAGATCAAATCCAGCCTGAACCCCTCACTCTTGCCAGACGTCTTAGTCATGTGACTTAATCGATACCCTGGTTGGTTAGGTGAATCCGTGGTATCTCTAGAGTTCTTTGTTATATGGGTTAAATTCTCCCTGAAGAATTCCAAGAGAAGTTTCTGTGGCGTAGCAGTTATATTTAATTCAATGTATTTGGGCTCCCAAAATCTTTTATCTATCCCAAAGTGGAACCTTTCAAAATAATACCAAGTAATCCAATTGTTATAAGTTCCTTCCAGAGAGCAACACAAAAGGATGGCTCCTGTTATCAGACCATGTGAATTGGCATTATACTGAGACAGACATCATGACAAAACTTTCATACTGCCTTGTGGAGATATATTGTTTATGATTTATTAAAGCCACACTAATTAGCTATAGAAGCTAGGGGGTGGTGGTATACACCTTTAATCCCAGCACTCAGGGTTAAGAGGTAGACAGATCTCTGTTAGTTCAAGGCCACACTAACTATACAAAATCAATCTAGTCTTGAAAAACAAAACAAAACAAATAAAAACAGCTCACGAAAAGGTGATCTCAGCACCTGGGATCAAACTCCTTTAATTCCAGCATTAGGAAGGTGGAAACAGGAAGATATGGCTGGGCAGAGAAAGGAATAAAAGGAGGAGACAGGAATTCAGAGCCTTTAGCCTCTAAAGATTGTAGAGACAGAATTGCCATTTCAGCTGGCTGTTAAAATTTTTGCTTAAATTAAAGATAAAGAAGAAAAGAGGCTTGTGAGACATATTAAGCACTTTATTATAGGCCGGGCAGAGCAGGGAGACTAAGAGAGAAGAGAAACATGGTAAAGAGAGAGAAAGAGAGAGAGAGAGAGAGAGAGAAAGAGAGAGAGAGAGAGTAGAGAGTGTAGAGAGAGACAGAGTAAAGAGAGCATAAACGGGCAGGGTCTGTCTTTTAAAGGGTCCTCTGCACCTGTGTGCAGACTTACTTCTGATGGAACCTTGGGCTGACCAGGGTACTGCCTGTTCCACCAAGAAACAGGGCCAGGCCAACATAATGCCTGAACATTTCAATCCCACCTTTACTTATTATTTTAAAAAAAGGTGGGGTGTTGGACATGGATGAAGGAATGAGGGCATCGAATTCTCAAGACTGCTTCCTGCTGACGTGGGGGGCGTTGACCATCTTTGGGGGACCTGAGAAGGTTGGGGTCCTGCCACATCCTGGGGTAGCTGGGTGTTTCATCGCAGTCCAGGCTGTATGGAACTTCCTGGTGCCTCTTAGACCTGGCAAGATGTTGGCAGAGCAGAGCACAAGGTTAAGCTTAGAAAAAAATTTTTTTTTCCTTAGGTCCTGTCACTTGAGGGGAAGATTATAAGATGAGGGAGGGGTTCCTGAGGAGTCCCAACATGAGGGAAGGGAGTCCTGGGACCAGGGAAAGATTGAAGAACTGGAGTGAATCTGACCTGTTTGTTTGGATCCAATTCAGCTCCCTGGAACTTACAAGAATCCTTAGAGTTTGTGGAAACATAAGTATTAGACACATTAGCAGCATATTCATGTTAGAAGCAACTTGACTAAAGCATTAACATTTTAAAATTGACAGATATTTTTTAGGACAATGAAAAGCATCTTAGTCTCGGCCTTGTAGTTATGATCGTATAGTGGTATTGTAGAATTTTACTATGAACAGTAGCATGAGAAATATAGAAATCAGGAACATATTTCATTCTTTTTTAATGTCTCAACTCACTTTTTCATCACTTAAGCCTTTTTATCCTCAGACCTTCATAACTTTAATTCATACACCTTACATTACCATCTTAGACCTTCCATTTTCATTTTACTGGATAACAGTAAAAGGAGGAACCAGAATGCAATCTCTGATCCGTACATTGTAGCAAACAGACAGGAGATTTAAAGGGACAAAGTAGACTTTGTAGACAAAGTAGGCTCTGGAAAGACAGTATTCTGTAAACAAGCCATGAGCAACAGAGCCAGTGAAAGAAGAAATCACAGGAAAAAAAAAAAAAGCAAAAAAGATCTGGCAGCCAGGTTTGCTGGCACAGGCTTCCTGGGGTGGGCATGCCTACAGGTACGTCATACGGCCAAGATGGCGGTCCCCAGGTTAGCCCATATGGCCAAGATGGCTGCCACCATAAGCCGATTTTTTATCTGTTTACCCGCCTGTTGGCTGCAACCAGAAAGGTTCCACTATCATTTCCCATGGGTGAGGCAAGTTGAAAAACTGGCAAAAAGCTCCTCTCTGGATGCCTGTCAGTGGGTGGGAGTTGCCAGGGGCCTGGCCCCGAAGGGGACACAGCTGTCCCGAAACCGAAAATGACCCAGTGGTTCGAACTGAAAAAGCAAAAAAGCACCGCTCCTGGAGCAGGATTCCAAACCTGACCCACGAGAAATTCAAGGGATGTCTTACTGGATTGTAGCAAACAGGCAGATGAGTGGGTTACAGAGTCCCAGCATCTCAGACCGCTGTAGGCAGGAGGAAGCGCCAAGAAAAACCAAGATGGAAGTGGGTTATGAGTTCAGATCTTAGGATCCCCGAAATTTCCCCTGCTCCTGGCAGGAGAGGTAACAAAGAAAGCCTATCCCGCCAGCAAGCTTCAAGAGAGCTTACGGAGAGAACCTAAATCAAGTTGGGCGCCAAATGTTAGATTTTTGCTTAAATTAGAAATAAGAAAGAAAAGAGGCAGATGAGACATAAGACTAAGAGCCATATTAGAGATATTAACCAGTTTATTATAAGCCCGGCAGAGTAGGGAGACTAAGAGAGAAGAGAAACATGGTAAATGGCTGACTGTCATGGCCGGTCGCCATTGAGAGAGAGAGACAGAGAGAGGACCTCTGCACCTGTGTGCAGACTTAGTTCCCATGGAACCTTGAGCTGATCAGGGTACTGCCTATTCCACCAAGTAACAGGTGCAGGCCAACATAATGCCTGAACCTTTCACTGGGTAGACATAAGATCTACTGGCTTGGCTGCTTTGCTTTTCTGATCTTCGGTGGCTTTAATAAATCATAAACAATATATCACCATACTGTCTCTGTTCTCCAAAAGGGCCAGCATGGCTTTCCTACACATCATTTATCTCCTGTTGAAGGGGCCAGCTCCCCATTTTGGCAGCCATAACAGCTGAACACCTATTTGTCTACCTTGTCTTAGTCACTAAGGTCAGATGCCTGCCCCTTTCAGCAGCCATGACAGTAACACGTGCTTGCTATGACCTTGCCTTGGTCACTAGAGGTTAGGTGCTTGCCTTGTGGCAAGGAACCAATCAGAAGTTAGGTGGTGGTGCTATGCTTTATGGCTCTGGGTGTGCTTTACGGACAGGCTCACAGCAATGACTCAAAGAGCATAACAACCACCTGGGAGGGCCTATGGGCCATAATAACCAGTTGGCCAATTAACACAGGGCAAACCCTCCAAGCCTGGAGGCACACTAATCCTGAGCCTGTGCATACCCCTAGACACTCCCCTTATGCTGCCCTATAAGATGTCTATGCAGCCAGTTCGAACTGTCTTTGCTAGCCATGTCGGGTGGATGAAAGACCCAAGCTAACATGGGGTTAGCTTGTTAAATAACAATAAAGCCTCATGCTGTTTGCATCAAGCTTTTGACTCTGCTTGGTGATTGGGGTGGCCGAGGTCCTGGGCTAAGATCCTGAAAGCCTGAGCTTTCCGGGGGTCATACACTGTAAGTGCCCTTTCAGTGTCTCAACTCTAAGAAGTTCCGTTTGTTGGCTCCTTCCCCTTTAGGGCACTGTCTAAGACCCAGATGCTAAGGATCCCCTAGAGTCAGAGTTCTTTCTGAGCTCCTTTACAGTCACTGATTAAAGTACGCATCTCCTCCTGCTAATCTTCAGGCTAATGCTCAGTGCCCTCAACAACTGAACCTAAGAGGGTAAAGAAAAAGGTTTTCCTTTCAACAAGGCCACTTTCAGTTGTCATCGGCAACTGAAAAGCAAGGACAATGATGAATTTTGGCTAACTCTACCACTCTTGGATCCACCTCAGCCTTGATGACTCTGTGTAGCTAGTAAAAATGTAGGGATCACCCAACATAAACCTCTTTAGAGTTCCAGTTTGTTTTTCAGGGTAGCCAGAATAAAAAGTCTGGGATGCTAGGGGGATGGCAGCAACACTCTCTTATTACACTTATCCTCATTGGACTGCCTAGAGCAAAAAATAGTCCTTTATTGGCTTATAAGACTTGAGATTTAAGAGTTGTTTATGATAGCAACAATTACTAATCCTGGTAAAAGAGAAAAGTGGTGATGTACTCTGCACATGTACACACACACAAGATAAACACAGCATAGCCACCCAATGGTAACAGAGCAGGTGGAGCAGACTGGGCATCTGAAGACTGATAGTAAGCAGTGGCTAGCCTGTTACTTTCATTACCTCAAAAGGCAGATAGATACCCCTTTTGATAAAGGAAAGGCTCAGAATAACCGATGTTGGTGTTCTTTACAACAGCACATATACTAAAATTGAAATGAAACAGAGAAGACTAGCCTAGCCCTTGTATAAGTCTGAAAACTGAATTTGTGAAACATTCCATAGTTGTTTTTGTTTTAATTTATTTATTTGTGTATGGCATAGTTGGTTTGTGTGTGTGTGTTCTCCGGAGGCCAGAGAACACCACACATGATATCTCACAACCAGCTATAACACCAGTTCCAGAAGATCCAACCCCCTCTTCTGGCCTCCACAGGCACTGCATACATGTGATGCACAGACATGCTGGCAAAACATCCAAACACATAAAATAAAAATTAAGCCGCTCTTAAAAACCAGAACTAAAGCTATGCCGACACCTGTAGATGGAGTTTCTACTCTGCCTGGTCCTGCCGCCCTTCAAACACAAATAAACACACAAAGACTTATATTAATTATAAACTAGTCAATGGCTCAGGCTTCTTATTGGCTAGCTCTCTCTTAACTATTAACCCATTTCCATTAATCTCTCTCTTTTTTTATTTAGAGTTTTTGTAATCAAACCCATGTAGATAAGACCTTACATATTTAATACAGTGCGTTACCCCTGTACAAATGGAAAAAATTAAGTTCAACATTTCTAGACCAATATGGCTGTTAATTTCTGTACAATGCCAACTCATCACGGTAAACTGGGATACTTTTTTCCAAAGTTGACAGCACAGCTAAAGTTTCCAAAGATTCAAATTATATATGTATTTGTATTTATATTTATATTTATATTTAAAGACCAATAATAGCAGAATGTTATGCATCAATAGCAGCAACAGCTTTTCCAGGTTCTGAAGTCATTTGAACAAAATTGTAGAGACATCCAGCACACCCCATTTAAAAAAAAAAAAGAAAAACAAAAAAAGTAAAAAACAAAATTCCAGAAAACAGCACAGTTCTTTTAATCTATGTATTTCCACATGGTTTTATCTTACCAGATAATGTCTGGACCTGTTACTCCTTCCTCAACTACATAGTCATCCCCCATCATACACCCTTTCTAAAGCTCGTTTCCCTGAGTAAGATACCACTTGAAACAGGTGCAGGTACTGGGTCATAAACGCATGCCTATTGTCTATTTCTTAGAGGAGCCCAGCTGTTTGAATGTGGGTCTTTCTAAGTAAGAGTCTCCATGTGGCTTCTTCACATAGAGGTTTTAGTATACAAGAGAAATGGGTGACTGCATTCCTGCAGGCTTCTCTCCTCTGCATTACTTTCAACTGAGTGTTGAGAAAATAGTGAGCAGCTCTGACTTTGAAATTCACCCCCACCCAAGAAAAATCTAGAGTATAAAGATTCATTATTGTTAATTGAATATAGCACTTTATGTTTTAATAATCAGCAGAACTAGAGGAAGCACTGACATTTTCTACTGAATGGTAAAACATGCAAAAAGCCAACTGGATAGAAAATCACTCCACCTGGTACTTGGAGTCCTTCCAGGGTATGGGCTGCCAGTGTTTTAGAGTTTAATACCATAAACCATAGCATCAATTATTTAGACTAGAAAATATTAAATAACACTTTTCCATTAAAATCTGTATGCCAGAAATAACCATGAAGCACCAAGATGTTAATTTCCTTTTTTTTTTTTTCCTGGTTTTTCAAGACATGGTTTCTCTGTATGGCTTTGGAGCCTGTCTTGGAACTAGCTCTTGTAGACTAGGCTGGTCTCGAACTCACAGAGATCCGCCTGCCTCTGCCTCCTAGGGGCTGGGATTAAAGGCATGCTCCTCCACCGCCAGGTCCGAGATGTTAATTTCTTATTTTGGAGTGACCCACTTGAAACCAATGACAGCTACGGATACAAATTATCTAGTGTGAAAGTACCCCCTCACACACACCCATTTTGAGCCAAGAGTGGAGCCCAGTACTCAGAGTTAAGCTAATGCTGAATTCTCTGTATGCGCTGTGCTGTATGTCTGGCCCAAAGGTGACATTTTTAATGGCAGGTAACAACATATTGATGAATTTTCAGAGCACAAGGATATCGGTATTTTCAAAACATAACAGCAGGGGCCTGAGAGATGGCTTAGTAATTAATAGCATGACGAACCTTGCAGAAGGCCTGAATTCTGTTCCCAGCATCCACATCCAGCAAGTTCACCTGTAACACCTGTAACTCCAGCAGCAGGAGATCCAACACATTCCTCTGGCCTCTGAAGGTACTCACACACAGACACAAATACATAACTAAAATACAAAGACAGTCTTAAATATATATGTACACACACACCACACACACACTAGCCTGGGTCATAAATATTTGAGCATTAATATGAATGGCTAGGTTGTTCTTCATCTGCTATGGAATATTCTTAGCTATTTTCCTTATAGTATTGCCTCTAAGGTATTCTCTCCCACCTTTTCTTTTATCATTTTCACTAAATGAGTATAAGATTCCTTGGGCTCCTCTGTATTTCCTGTGCTTTTTTTTTTTTCAGGTGTGTGTGTGTGTGTGTGTCTGTGTTATAATCTGCATAATTTTTTATGATTCACCTTCTGATTGGCTGTTTCTTTATCCACCAAAAAGTTGAACAGAAAATACAGCTAACCCTCTCACATTTCCCCACATTCTCTTATTATTAACGTTTTGCTTCAGTATATACCACATTTGTGACAATCTATAATTTCCATCAGGGTTCGGTCTGTGTTGTCCAAGTTTATGGGTTTGACAAGGTCCTGTATGTAACATTATAGGGTCAGTAAGAGTGAGTTATACTAAAAAACCTCTCTCCTCTGTCTACCCATCCCTCCCTCCTACTAGTTAAACTCCTGGGACCCACTGATCTTATTGTTTAAATAATCTTGCCTTTTTCAGAATATGATATATTTAGAATGATGTGCATTGTAGCCCTTTCAAGTGTCAGTAGTGTAGATGAGAAATGTCCCCTATAACATATTTGAACAATGAGTCCCCAGTTAGTGGCACTGTTTGAGGAATTATGAAAGCTTTAGGACAGTGGTTCTCAACCTGTGGGTCACGATCCCTTTGGGAGTCAAATGACCTTTTCACAGGGGTCACCAAAGACCATTGGAAAACACAGTATCACATTACAATTAATAACAGTAGCAAAATTAGTTATGAAGTAGCAATGAAAATAATTTTATGTTTGGGGGTCACCACAACATGAGGAACTGGTTAAAGGATCGGAGCATTAGGAAGGTTGAGAACCATTGTTTAGGAGTTAGACTAGCCTTTAAAAGACTGCTTCACTTGTGGGCTGGAGAGATGGCTCAGAGGTTAAGAGCATTACTGCTCTTCCAGAGGTCCTGAGTTCAATTCCCAGCAACCACATGGTGGCTCACAACCATCTGTAATGAGATCTGGTGCCCTCTTCTGGTGTGCAGATATACATGGAAGCAGAATGTTGTATACATAATAAATAAAATCTTAAAAAAAAAAAAAAAGACTGCTTTACTTCAGGGCAGGCTTTGAGAGCCTATAGCTTCATTTAATTTCCTGTTCAGCTTTCTGTTTCCTGTGTACAAATAAAACATGATGTGCCAGCGTCCTGTTCCTGCTGCCATCATGGAGCTACCTTCTGTAATGGTAAGCCAAAATAAACCCTTTCTTCTTTAAATTGTTTTTGGTCATGGTATTTTGTCATAGCAACAGAAAAGTAATTAATACACTTAGTAGGCATTTGAGTTTCCTCCATGTTTTTTCAGAGCTTAAAGATCATTTGCTTTCATCACTGAGTGGTTGTACCAGTTTGCTCATTTGCCTATTAAAGACATCTTGTTTCCTTACAGTCTGAGATGGTTATGAAGAAATCACTGTTGAGTATTCCTGTGCAAGTGTGTGTGGGGGGGGAATACCTAGGTTTCTACAAGTTTGATTCACTTAACAAGGTAATATGACCAGGAAGTAACTGATACAGAACCTGAACTCAGAAACTGCCACTTGTGATACAAGAATGGGAAGAGTTTGGGCTGGAGAGATGTCCCCTCAGTTAGAAGCACTGGCTGCTCTTCCAGAGGTCATGAGTTCAATTCCCAGCACCCATACGGTGGCTCACAACCATGTGTAATGAAATCTGGTGCCCTCTTCTGGCTTTCAGGGTTACATGCAGCCAGAACACTGTATACATAAATAACTCTTTGTAAATTTTTTTTTTTTTTTAAGAATGTGAAGAGTTCATTGATGCAGAAATCTGAGTCAGATGGAGGACAAGACCAGGAGTCATAAGCAGAAGTTGTGAGAATGTTTCAACATGTGTAGTGGCAAGATGCTGCTTGGAAAAGCAGGATGATGGCCACACAGCAATGTGAGTGTATTATTAGCTAATGTCAACTAAAAATAGTTAAAACAGTAACATACACATTTTACTTTAATTAAAAGCATGTTGATTTGTTGGTATGGAAATAAATTAATCTGACTAAAGCTACAGCTTTATTCTGAGGAGGAGCTGAATGTGTAGAATTAAAACAAAACTGATATTAAATTTTATATTCCGAGGTCTTGGAGAATCATTGAAAATTTGCAAGGTGACATGCAGGTGAAACATGTCATTTAAAAGAATGAAACTGTACTGTATCACATCTGTTGAAGTGGGAGCAAGGTGGAAGCTGCAAAGAGCTCAGTTGTGTCTGGGGGAGTCCTTGTCCACATCTTCCCTTTCCTTCTAGCAGAAGTGTTATATCGGCACTGCTGTCTCTATCATATACTTAAGGAAGCAAAGGCTCACTCACCTCTGTGCCTCTAGTATTATGTAACAAACAATTTTGAGCTAGGTCTCCTAATTTCAAATGCAGTGGTATTTATGAGGAGGCAGAAATAACTCGGACTTAAGAATCATAATGAACTTTAATTCTGAATTTGTCTATAAGGAAGCTGTGTGGCTTTAAGAAACTCATGGAGCTTGGATGGGCCTCGATTTCTCTTCTATGAAAACATGGTTAAAAAAGAATACTCACCCCTAACAGTGACTACTATATATATGGAGAGCAAAGCCCAGCACATGATCCCTAAGATGTGCTCAGTAAATGAATTCCTTTCTTCCTAAAAGAAATTGTGTTGTTAGGGCTGGTGGAACAGCTCAGCAGTTAGAGCATCTTTTGTTCTGGAAGACATGG